ATTTTCATGCTTTAACATGTTACACAAACAAACAAAGTATTGCTCTATGATTAATTATAACACAAAAAGGCTCTAAACAACAATTTAAATCTGTGGTAATTGCATATGGGTGTCCTGTATCTATTTTCCAAACAGTGAATACTTGAATTTTCATGCTTTAACATGTTACACAACTTTCTTGCAAACTTTCTGAGAACTTCTTGGAAGTATAGCTGTTGCATCACATCACTTTTGATACTCAGCAGAGTCAAAACTTGAAGAAAGTCTTATCAAAGAACATTATTCACTTTTTATCCCTGCCATCACAGAGAACAATCTCTCACCTGGGCAATTAGTCACAGGCACAGTGAAATACAGTCACAAAGCAACATCAGCATTTGGAAACACAATGAAAATGTCGAGAATAAAGTTCTTGGAGGAGATCTTTTGGATGAGTGTATGTGTTGGACTGTTGACTACGTGCCAGAATTGAAGCAGTTCTTCGGTGAACCTATCTTGGTCACAGTTTTATGGGTAGCACCTGGCTAGTTTCCAGGTGGCAGCATATATCTCTTCTTCACTTTCTTCTTCTAGCTCCATCAAAAATTGGATTGCTTGCACAGAGCCTCATATGTAAAAAGGTGCCTTCTAAAACAGTATCAGTTGTCTTAGTTTCTCTGAAGAAACGTTTCCAACTCTTTACTTTCTTGGTCTCAAAACTGATATTCTGAGACATGAATTAATTTAAATCTTTTAAATTTGTTGAACCTCTCCCTTTAGCTCTGAACATATTCTAACAGAGATTTCAACTGATTTAAAGCCATTATGAAATCAGTTTCTTCGGCTTGTAGATATTGCCTGACAGAGTCAAAGCAAGCCAAGACAGTAGCGCGTGCAGATGTTTGCCATGAATTCAGTTTCATGCTGTTTCGTAACACTAAGAAACACGACTGATTCCTCTGTTGTTCATGCATTCTCCTTCTCAGATTCTGCAAGAGCTTTCAGAAGTACCTTGATTGCCATGTAGTTATTAAGCCAACCAGCTTCAAAGCATCAGTTCCCTTCCTTCTTCACTTTTCAAGTCTGCACAGAATAACAGAATGTCATGAGGTGGATGAAGCATGGTTGTAGAGGTTCCCAAGAAATATGAAATAGTTCACACCTGCTCTGTAACATTTTACACATTTCACACCAACTAAGTTTAAGGAATGGTCTCTGCAAGGTACATAAACTCATCAGTGAATTCAGGGCTTTTAATCGAGCCTGCATCCCATTGTACTTGCTGGACATCTGTGTTTTCCAAAGGCTGTTCACAACAGTCACTTAAATTTAACCAAATGTATGATACTTGGTATGACCCTTTATAGGTTGAAAGCCAGTAATGTGCTTGCACACTTCATCATTAACTGATGTGAATCATCTGAGGTTAAATCAATGGAAAAGTACTTTGCCTCTACATTCTCTTCAGTTGTTTCCTTCTCTACTTTCTTGCCCATCACAAAATCATTTTGTGTATTATGGTGATTAATACCTTTTTTTGGCTGTGATTTCCATGATTTTTCCGGTAATTTGCAAAGAACTTATTGTACCTTGCAAGCAGTTTGATAATTCTAAGG